TGGAAGAGTAAGAGCCTGCTCTCCTTTGCTCTGTGAAACTAATAAGAACATTCTAAGAACTCACTAGCGGCCTTTCCTCATGATTCACTGGCCAGAATTGGGTCCCATCCCTAACCCTGAGCCACTCATTGGCAATGAGTGGGATTACCCTTCAACCAGTGGTTCTCAGCTGGGGGTGAGTTTGCCCCCCAGGGACATTTGGCCATGTCTAGAGACATTTGGTTGTCACAGCGGGGGCAATGCTACTGGCATCTCGCTGATAGAGGCCAGGGATGCTGGGAAGCCTTCTACAATGCACAGGACAGTCCCCCACAACAAAGAATTATGGCCCAAGATGTTAATAATGCCAAGGTTGGAAAACCCTGCCTTAGACTCATCAGGGCTACCCCTGGGCTGGGGTCCATTTCTCCCCAAACACACATCACATATCCCAGATGGACAGGGGCAGAATGCACACTGGGGCTCAGCCACAGTCCCTGCCAGCAAGACTCCCAGGTCCCCAGGTCACACCCTGGGCCTCCCTCCCTCCATAACTCATTGGAAGGCAGCCCCACCCAAGCTCCTTTGTGGAGTTTTCTATCTGGCTTTTGTTCCAACACTAAGAGCTTTATAAAAGATTTCAATTTGATAAAATTACAAGAGGCCTCTTAGAGTTTTTATCTCATCGTCTTTGTTAACCTACCTTGAGTGCTTGGCCTTGGAGAGCTAGGCCTGAGGATACCACTGGGTAGAACTGGCGCCAGGTCAGAGGAGAAACAGCGCCTTCCAGCCAAGTGAGGTAGAGTTGCACAGTGGATCAAAACAACAGCACTTGCTGGGTGCCCTTTGGCAAGGTGATTAACCTCTCTGAACTTCCTTTTGATCTCCTAAACGGGGTTGCTGTGAGCATTCATGAGATGATATATGTGAAGTGCCTGGCATACAGTAGGTGCCAAACGAGTGGTATTGCAGACATGATATAGTACAGGAGGCTTTCATATGGCAAAGGAGACTAATGAGTAATGTTGCGAAGAATAAATAAGGGCTTAGTGACTCAGGAGGTGCAAGAGAGGGATGACCCCAAGAGTTCAAGTCCAAGCCTGTACCCACTCGGCACACATTTGAGAAGCCACGGGAGTCGGGGGCCTCCCAGAGCAGGAGGGCAGAGGAGGCAGCTGAGAGTCTTTTGGAAGCAGTGACTGGCAATGACTTCTTTAGTTCTGCTTCCCGTGTGGGAGTGACCACAGGCAGCATCCAGGCCTAACTGTGCCCTCTCTTGCAGACCCCATGATGGAGCTGACGGGCACCGACCCCTCCGAGCTTGACAGCCAGCAGGAGATCGAGGACTTCGAGGAGAACGCCTACGCCTACGCCGGTGTGGACAGCAGCGCCGAGGCCAGCGTCCTCACCGAACAGGCCATGAAAGAGATGGCCTACTACAACGTGCTATAGCACAGGCCAGGCCACCCAGGACGGGGCAAGGAGGGCGTGGGGCGTGGGGGGAGACCCATGTGCTGCAGGCTGCACCTCCTGCAGCTGAAAAACAAGCTACTGCCCCACTGTCCTGAGCCCTCCCTCCCACTCAGTCGTTTGCACCACTAGGGACTTGTAGACCAAATGGAGACTGTACTACTGGCCTCAGCTGTGAACCAGGCACAGGCCCCAGGCATCCTAGGGAAGGAAGGGTAACACGGGAGGCCCAGGTCTGGGTCTCCTTGGCCTGCTGCTGTGGGAGAAATGCAGATGGGGGCCGTCTGGGGACAGGTCACAAGGGCATAGGTTCTCTAGTCTCTCCAGGCCCAGCAGAGCTGGGGCGGCCTGTGTGGGCAGGGCCATCCTGATGGCTCCTCGGGGCTCCTGTCACTGGAGGGAGATCTCTTGAGCCATGTCTTGTTTCTCCTCTGGACCCTCTCCTGCCTCTAGGGATGTTTGAGCTCCTGTGCTGGTCAGCCTTGCCCCCCACCCTTACCCCCCACCGGCCCCTGGGCTGCGAAAAGCCCAGGCCCAGAGCCCATTCCCCCACCCTGTCCATGGACAGCCAGGCAGGGCCCTCTGCCTTCTACCTCCTGGTGCCTCCCGCTCTCTCCTCCAGCCAGGTGTGCATGCGGCCTGGTCCTGGCCTTAGGAAAGCGGGGTGTAGCCCAACCCCTAGCTACCGTCCTCTCCAGCCGACCCCCAGAAGCCTCGCATCTTACAGCCCTGTTTGGAAGTGGGCGTCCCTAAAGTGGATTTCAGCAAACTGTTATCCAGTTCTGTCTCGAAGTGGGGCACCACCCCAGGGTCCCCCAACAAAGCCAGGACATGCCTTGCGTCAGACACACACTAACAAAGACAGATGGAGGCCCCTTGAGTGGGGGGACCAGTGATGGGGTCGTTGGGGACCAAGAGGGGCTGTCCTTAAGGAGGCCAAGGAGGGCCTATGTAGGGGTGGGGGCCTGGAGTTTTCCTCTTATTTAAGGTCTAATAAGTATCCATTTTGAGGATGGGGACAGCCAAGAGTCAGCAGGGTCCCAGGAAGAGCAACATATTTAAAAAGGAAAATGAAGACCATAGAGGGAAAAAAAAAGGTTTTTTGAGCAAAGGGGGGTATTTTGAAGGTAATTTATTTTTCTCCTTTCCAACTCTGTGTCACCTATTATCTTTTCTGATGGAGATCGTTTTCTTTTTGCCAGCGGAAGCTTTCTCGTGTGCTGTGCGTGCTTTGTGCCTCCCCAACCGAGAGCAGCGCGGCCTGCCCTGGCGGGACTCGGGCTCGGAAGGCACTGTCGGTCTGGCCCTGGGGCTTCAGCTGCTGGCAGGAAGCCTCCGGAGGCCAAGGCGAGAGGCAGGAGGAGGCAGAGCCCGGCAGGCCGTCCACCCTCTCCCAGCTCCTCCGGCTAGTGACTTGCTCTGCACCACCCAGAGCAGCGGCCCGGGCTGCCGCCCCTGCTCAGCCCACGGTTCGCTCCCTCGCCAGCCCGCTCTCATCTCCTCGGTCCCCGCGCCAGCTCCTGCCCCGGAACTGAAGACTGCAGGCCCAGGGCGGTGAAAGAGCACATTCAGGAATGCTGGGGCACCCAGACGCCCACCCACTCGCCCCCTGCGGCCTCCGTGGAGGGGAGCAGGCAAGGCCATTCCCAGAGGCACAGGAGGTGAAGCCACCAGCTTCAGCCCAGAAACCAGGAAGCGGGGAGCGGCTGAGGAGGGAGGTGCCCCCAAGGCCGTATCCTTAGTGAAGGACCAAGCCAGGCCTCAGGGTGGCTGAGATCAGGACGGAGGGGAGGACAAGGTAGCCTCGGGATCAGGCAGCCAGGTGCCCCTTCCTTCTCTGCTAGAGTTCATGCTAAGCAGCAAATAAGAGGGCTGGGGCTCACGGGAGCCTCGCCCCGACTGTGGCTCTCCAGACCCTGAGGCCCCCCAGCCTCCCAGGTGCCCGCCATGATGACCCTCAGGTGGCAGTGACCCCGTCACTGTAGAAGACATTTTCTCCTGCTGAGCAGAAGCATCATCCCCGCAAACTACCTCTTCCCACAACTTCTTTCTCCCCTGGTACCAAAAAGAACCCTGTACCTCCTCTTCTTCCTCTTCCCTGCCAGTGCAGTGGCCTTGGTCTTGGAAACCCATGAGAGACGGTCTGGCCCCCAGGGTGGGGCTCTCCTCTCTGCCCCCAGCCCCGCCATCAGCACCAGCCCTCTGCAAGGTTCAATACTTGAACGCCCCCCATGCCCTGTGCCTTGGACCTGGGCAAGGCTGAGAGAAGGAAGCAGCACAACTCACAATTGGAGCTGGGTGGGCGGTGGTCTTGGCAAGGCTCCGGTCCCCACCCCCACCCCACCCCAACCTTTTCAAAAGAGGCGTGCAGCCTCTCGGGTGACTTGGAAACTCCTGGACAAATCCCATTCTAACTTATTTTGACGTGTATACAAACCAACTGTTTAGAAATTCCACTTGTGCAAAGCCCTACTGTGTTTTTATGTTCCTGTTTAAAAGAGAAGTTTACTTAGCAATAATTATAAATAAATGAATATTCTTTAGTGAGGTGACTGCAAGTGCTTCTTTCCATGGTTCTTGGGGACCCGGTCCTCACCCCTCCCTCAGAAGGAGCTCCCTACAAGGCTTCCCTCTCTGGGGGCCCAGAGGAGCCCCAGCCCATCCTTTGCACTAGAATGGCCACCTGCAGAGCTCCAAGCCCGTGAGAAAGGGGCGCAGGTCAAGGCCCCAGAATTCCCACCACTCGAAGAGAAAAAGCCGCTTCCCCACCAACAGGCCACCAGGACAGAAGCCAGCTCCCCATGCCAGACTGGGCTTCAGAGGCTGTGCCTTCTGGGGAGCTGCCAGCCCTTCGTTACTGATGGGGAAGAGGCCGGAAACCTTGAGCTTCCCCCCAGGAGTTGGGCCAGCCAGAGTCATCACGCCAGCTTTTCCTCCTAGAGCGCCGGGAGTCCAGTGATTACTGAGGAAGAGTGGTCTTAGCGCAGAAGGCGGCTGTCAGTGGAGGTGGGCAGCTGAAGCCCATCTCAAAGCTACCAAGGCTCCCAGCTATTGGGTTTCAGAATACATGAGAGCCCACCCAAATGTGGGAAATGGACTTTGGGTTGCCAAGTATTTATTTTCTCAAGTCAAGATGACACAACTCGGGAATTCCCTGGCTGTCCAATGGTTAGGACTCTGCGCTTTCACTGCAGATCCTGGTCAGGGAACTGAGACTCAGCAAGCCATGTGGCCAAAAAAAAGACACAACTCTTCCCTAGGACATTTTAACACCAAAAGTAGAACATAATCCCCGAATAAAGGATAGCCCTTTAAGTTGGATCTGTTTAGCTTTATAGCAACTTCGTAAACTTACTTTTCCAAGTTTTGCCACAGAATGGTGAAGAAGAACCCAAGTCTGGGACTCACTAGCCTGGACCACATGGGGGCCCCACTCACAGGCCCAGGCCCGAGTCCCAGGCAGCCGTGGGGAAGAGAACTGAGGCGGCCACTGTGTGGGACCTGTTTCAAGGACTGAGAAACAGGCAAATAAAGAGGTCTGGGCACGTTTAGAAAGTTAAAACTATCAAAGAAAAAAAATATATATATATAACCGTACTCTATCGGAAGTGACAATCTCAAAATGGAAAAGAGGATACAGAAGCCAGGTCGTGCTAGGAAATTCCAGGGAACCCACAGGCCTTCTGCCTGGTCCCCTCCCCCCGGTGGCCCCCTGACTGGACAGAGGCCTGCTGTGACCCAAGGCACCCCGGGCAGCCCCCGGGGGAATCCGCCAGCCCTTTGAGGGCTTCTGCCTCTAGGCCCCAGCTGCCTCCTTCCCCTCAGGGACGAACACAGCAGACTGTTTTGTGAAGAGCTTTTTAGTAGCTAAATACGGCACCATGTGTTCCGAGGGCAATATAAATTACAGTATGCAAAACATACCACTGGCTGAGGTAAAACACACCGTTCCTGCCTCATGTCACCATGAGGGGAAACACACAGATACTTTTAAAAACATCTTGCTTATAAAAAAGAGTGTCCCCGAGAAAGGCCTCCAAAGAGGGGGTGTGAAGCTCACCCTCCGCTGCGGGGGCGTGTCGGGGTTGGGGGGGACCTGTGGCCACCCGCTCGGCCCCAGCCCGGCCGCCACGGCAGCCAGCAGCGCTCCCACCCGCTACTGCTGGCCCAGAGCTTTGTCCAGGTTGCTCTTGATGGTGTCCAGGAAGTCCGAGGTGTTCAGGAAGTGCTCGTTCAGCTTCACACTGCCAAGAGAGCACCTGCACGTGAGGGCCGCTCCAGCCGGGCCCTCCCAGGGCAGAGCCTGAGCTCAGGCATCCGGACGGCAGCCCCCTCGTGCGGTCACGGGGAGGTCTACAGGCCAGAGGCACCTGGAGCCAACGGTCAAGAGGCCACAGCAAACTCGGCAGGAACCCAGTAAGGCCTGTCTTTGCTTTTCCAGGTGAGTGGGCAACTAGGTACAAGCTCTCTGGGGAGAAGCTGGGAGATGGGTGCAGCAGGGGATGGAAACATTCTGAGCAGCTAGCCTCAGGGATGGGGACCCACTCGCTGCGCCTGGTGTGCGTAGGCTGGCCCGAGCCATCCCCCAGGGCCATGGACCTGTCCTGCCCCCGGCAGCTAAGTTAACTCAGGAGGAGGCCTCTAAGAAGGACCCTGGGCTTCTTTCCACCTGACCCCGAGGTCCCAGAAGGCCAGCCCTGCCCTCTACCCCAGGCCACCCACTTGCTGAGGCCATGGATGCAGCCCGCCAGGTCCTTGGTCATGGCTCCACTCTCCACTGTCTCGACGCACACCTTCTCCAGGGTCTGGGCAAACCTGCAGGGGACAGGGCAGAGTGAGACCCCAGCTGTGTGGAGCCAGGGCCCATAACCTGCCCAGATCCGGCTCAGGCGCTCCTTCTGCACTCACCTTATCAGGTCCTGGTTTCCGTCCAACTTCCCCCGGTGCTCCAGGCCACGCGTCCAGGCAAAGATGCTGGCGATAGGGTTGGTGCTGGTAGGCCGGCCCTGGGGGAAGGGGTCACAGGGGGATGAAGAGCCAACCAGCCAACAAGAGGGCCACCTGGACACAGCTGCCCACCTCTAGACTGACAGGACCAGGCCCGTGCTCCCAGCCCTCAGGGCCAGTGGGCTCGGGCCCCGGGGGCAGATGGTCATGAGGCCACGGTCCTCGCACTCACCTTCTGGTGCTCCCGATAGTGGCGCGTGACCGTCCCATGAGCAGCCTCAGCCTCAATGGTCTTCCCATCCGGGCAGATCAGCACGGACGTCATCAGGCCAAGGGAGCCAAAGCCTGGAAAGTAGGAAGACATCCTCTCGGTGCCGGCACCTTTCCTCAGGCCACTGGGGTTGAGCCCACCTGCCCTCCAGCTGTTGTAGCTGCTTCCTTGCTGTGTCTCCACCCACCCCCACCTATAACTGGGAGAACAGAGACTGTTTCAGGCTTGTCTACTGTTGTCCTGGGTCTCCAGGGCCCAGTACAGGGCAGAGGGGCACTCAGAGGTGGCTGTCATCAGCCTGTTAGCATAATTCTGCATCCCCTACCTCCAGGTGCCCCAGAGTCTATGGTCCCCCCAGGGCATAAGATCCCCCAAAATTCTGCCCACCCACCCTGGCTGGTGACCAGGAGGCTCATTCAAGCGGAAAGAATAAAGCCTGCAGCCAGCTGTTTCACAGTGATCACTTTATCTGCTCTTTCAGGCCACTTTAAAGCTTTGTGATTTATTTCCAAGATTTCCCAAATCCAGATGTCAACCTTTTCTGTGGCCAAGGTCTCCTAGTTTTCAAAAGCACCCCCACAGCACCAAAATAAGAATTCTGAATGCCCAAGAAAGAAAAAGTGGGCAACTTCTAGAGGAAAATTATTTGTGTAAGAATTTTTGCTGTTGGGGCAGAGGAAGGGGGAATCCCTTCTCCATTTGCACCTGGGACCTTCACACTCACCAATCTTCATACACTTAAGGGTACCTTTCACGCCTTTCTCTTGTCTGCTAGGGCTTTTCATGCTCCCATCCTAGATGGGAATTGTTCTAGTGAGAGGATCACACCAAACTTTTCAAAATAAAGTCAAAGGTTTTTATAAAGCACTGAGACCCTCTGCCTTTTCATCACAACCTGGCGTGCGCCTCACTTTTCTCCTTATCAGGAGCTAGACCTCGCCCCCTCTCACAGAGCCTGGTTTCTCTTCCACTCGCTATGGATACATGTTGCCTCCTCCCACTCTTTCCTGCTCTCATTCCCAATACAATTGGGCTATTTCTTTCTGTTCTTCCCTAACGGCTTCACGCAGGCTTTCTGCTGCAACCCAACTTGTGTTTCAGGATGCTCTGGGGCCTGGGGGTTTGCATCATCCCCAATATTCTCCTACATCCAAAAGGTTTACTGTGCAAAACAAATTCTCTGTAATGTAAAGAGCATCCGGTTGTGCTTACTCCCCTTTTTCTACTAGAGCCAAACCTAGTCCAAACCTGGAGCCAAGCAGAGTCACTTGGCCCTTTCATGGACAGGAACAACCTCAGGGCTAACACATCTAGCCCTTTAGCACCTGAATTCCTACGTCCTCCTTCCTCTGGAACGGCAGCCCTAGTAATACCCCAGTCCAAAGCTAACTTAGGATCCTTCCTCACTCAGACACCAGGGAGCCCCTGGCCCCTGCTGTCCACAGGAGACCCTGAAATGAGCAGGCAAGCCCCAGTCCTGCTGCTCCGCTAGAGAAGTGTTCTCCCCGAAGGAGAAAATCCCCCCAGCTAGGGAAAATCAACAGTCCATCCCCGCAGGGAGCAGGTGCTGCCAGCGTACCCTGGGCCAGGATGTCTGATTGCACGTCTCCGTCGTAGTTCTTGCAGGCCCACACAAAGCCGCCCGAAGACTTGAGGACCTGAGCCACCATGTCGTCAATGAGGCGGTGCTCGTACCAGATCTTATTCTTGTCGAACTCGGTCTTGTAGTGCCTGGGAGCAAAAGGGCCTGTTGTGGGGAGAGAGCGGGAGGCTGACAGGTTGGGGATCCCTCCCTGAGCCTCAGAGCTGAGACAGGTGCACTGGGACAGCCATCTCCCTGGGTGGGTAAGGGCGGCTGAGGGGACAGGGAAGAAGGGCCATGGCGTCCCTGAGAAGTATTAAAGGGAGGGGCCATTACTTCTCAAAGATCTCCTGGAAGATGTCCTTGAAGCGCCCGTCATAGGCTTTCAGAATGGTGTTCTTGGTGCTCATGTAGAGTGGCCACTTCTTCTGGATGGCATACTGGAAGCAGCTGTGCGCAAAACCCGAGATGGACTGCAGGGAGAGAGAGGTCCCTGGTGTGGTCCCCCAGGGCGGGCCCAGGCCCTGGGAACGGCATCCCTTCCCTCCACAGGACCCTCGCAGGCAGCCGGGGTTAACCCAGCCTCCCTGGAGTGAGCATCTATTGTTTCTACTGGCCCAGCATCCCCCTCCCAATTTCTGGGACGAAGTAGCCCCAACTGCTTTGGAAAGCTACCACCCTCCCCACTTCTTAGACCATATGGCTGGGGTGGGGCTAATGCCCTCAGCCCACCTGCCCGTCTCTAGACTTGATAGTGTGTCCTGGGCTTATCCAATCAGAGCCCTTCCTCCCCTGGGCCTCCATGATTGGCTCAGAGATGGCCATGTGACCCAGGCCTGTACTTTTGCTGGAATCATGAGCAAAAAGGCTCTTTTCCGGGACCTCCCTGGTGGTCCAGTGGTTAAGACTCCACACTTCCACTGCAGGGGGCATGGGTTCAATCCCTGGTCCGGGAACTAAGATCCTGAATGCCACAGTGCAGCAAAAAAAAAAAAAAAAAAAGGCGGGGCTCTTTTCTGATAGGGTAGCCAGGCTGGCAGCGATAAGCCTGGAGCTACTGGTGGCCATTTCTTCACAGCCTGAGAGTGAGCCCAACCACAGAGGAAAGGAAAGCCAAGAGGTGGGGGTAGGGAGGGGAAGAAGTGCTTACCCAGTTTGCTGTAAGCCAAGAGCTGACCACCAATGTGCCCCCAAGGACGCACCCGAGAGGGAGTCTAGGAATGGTGGGGAGCACAAGCACCTGGCTGGGCAGGAGTGGGACAGCCCTCCACACCGGGCCCACCGCAGGGCCCTCGGACACACCTAAGATGCATTTGCTCTCAGGCCTCAGACCTTCAGGCCACCGATGCAGGAATAGTCAGAACCACCAACCCGACGTGGCTGGAGATGGAGAGACAGGCGTGGGGGGAGGGAGCCGGGGAGCCGCTGCTCACCTCATCCGTGTTGTACATGCCCATGCCCACGCCACCAGCGGGGAAGCTGTACACCTCCCACTCCTTAGCTCCGCTGCCATCCTTTGGGGTGAAGACGATCTTGAATGTGCCAGCCCGGTCAGCCACAAAGTCTGTGGCCTTGTACTGCAGAGGTGACAGGGTGGCTCAGGCCAAGTGCTCCAGATGCGGGACCCAGGCCCTTGGAGCCCCACTCCCACCGTGGCCGACCTGGTCGCCGTGGGCGTGCCTGCCAATGGTGATGGGCTTGGTCCAGCCAGGGACGAGGCGTGGGATGTTTCTGCAGATGATGGGCTCCCGGAAGACAGTCCCCCCGAGGATGTTCCGGATGGTTCCATTGGGACTCTTCCACATCTTCTTCAGCTTGAACTCTATGAGGACAAAGATGAAGTGGCCCCACTGCAGCCCCCACCTTCCAACCAGAACTTGAACCCCAAGCAAGAACACAGATGGGGGTCCTAAAAATCATCTGCGGGGAAGCAGCAGCAGAGTCTAGAGTGTGCACGTGGGCTCCCGAATCAGATTTCCTGTCTTCAGGGTCCAGCTGTGGCACCACCTCTGACTGTCAGCCTTAGGCAAGTGGCTGAACTTAAGCCATAAAATGAAATTGCTGATAAAACACCTGGCCTTTTGGGTTGTCGTGAGGATTAAATGCATGCATGTGTAAAGTACCTAGAACAGTGGCTGGCACGTGGTAAGGGCTCTGTCAGTTATTTTATATATATACATATATATATATATACACACACACACATATATATATATATATATATATATATACACACACATATATGTATATACATATACATATATATACTTTTTTTTTTTGGCTGCACCGGGTCTTAGTTGTGGCACGCGAGATCTTCGTTGCCGCATGCAGGATCTTCAGTTGCAGCATGCAGGAGGATCTTTAGTTGCGGCATGCATGTGGGATCTAGTTCCCTGACCAGGGATTGAACCTGGGCCCCCTGCATTGGGAGCATGGAGTCTTAGCCACTGGACCACCAGGGAAGTCCCCTCTGTCAGTTATTATTATTCCCACATCACACTTGGACATAGCTGTCTGATGAACCTGGCAGTGTGCGGCCTCACTCCAGATGCTCTGGTTCTAGCCCCAGCACTGCCACTCACCGCTGGGTTCAGCCTAAATTACTAAGACTGTGACCCTCTACTTCCTTGTCCATAAAGTGGGGATGTATGAATCCCAGGGTTCAGGAGAAATCAAAGAAAACCAGCTGAAAGAGCTTAGCACTAAAATGATTCCATACCCTGAGGTCAGGAACAACCTGCCTGACAGGAGGAGGCCTGCAGAGTTTGGAGATGTCTTGAAGGTTTCCTTAAGGCCCCTCATACTGCAGGAAGTGGGGAGACAGAACTCTGCCAAGTTCTGAAACCACCCTTTCTTGAATTTCCCAAACCCGGATCCTTTACCCACACGCTGGTGCCATTTCATGGAACCCTCAAGAGCAGCCCCCAGAACCGAGGACCAGCGGCCTGTCCAAGCCCGGTGGGGCACCTGAGACCGCTCCACGGCCACAGAGGCAAAGGGCAGACCTGCAGTGCCAAGACAGTGGCGGGACACGAGGGACGTTCCGAGCCTCTGAAGGACACAGGCCTGACACCCAGCACTACCCTGGACAGAGGGGGCCCCAGAGTCTCTCTGTAAACCTGCCTGCAAAGCAGTCCAGGAGGCCAGGGGGGCAGGCTGCCCAAAGAGGCTGTCCTCACTGTGACAGTGTCAGCATCAGCTCTGTGACCAGTGACACCCACACTGGCCAGAGCCACACGGCACAGCAGAAACACCACCAGCCTGGGAGCAGGGGACACAGACCCTGGCCCCAGCTTTGCCACCCCCAACTGTGGAACCTAGGCCAGCCCTCAACCTCCCCTCCCCAGCCTCCTCCACAGGAACCTTGGAGGCTCCGCTGAGTGCTGGGCATTCGCAGGGAGACCAGGGTCACGTCCCAGCCCGCACTGTCCCAGCCGCCCGCCCCCGCGCCCCTCGCACCTTCCACACGGGCCTCGTCAGGGGTGATGGTGGCACACTTGACAGCCACGCTGTACTTCTGGGTGGCCAGCGCGGAGTCGATGGTGACCTGATCATTGGTCTGGTCACGGTTTGGGAGCCCCAGGTCAAAATACTTGAGCTGGACGTCCACATGGGGCAGGATGAGCTAGAGACAGATGGCCGGGGCCTGGCATCAGCCCAGATGACTGTGACTCAGGGGCATGTGGGGACGGTGGCAGGGGACACCCCGTCAGGGCAGGGAAGAGGAAAGGCCAGTGGTGGGCTCGCCAAAGCTGGCAAGAGGCCGGGGCTCTGGAGAGAGGCCGGCAGACCAGGCTGCAGCCCCTCGGAGGGCTCATCCCCTAGCGTGGACCACACACCCCCTGCGGTGGCCCATCAGTTCAGCCAAACCCCAACTCCAAGTGCATCTAGGGTTCTCTATACAGCGGGTTCCCTCTTCTTCCCCATTCAGAAGTGGTGATTCTCAACCTTCTTCTTGGGGACAGGCACATGGACAAGGTGCTCTCCCAGGCAGACCCAGCCCACAGCGACTTTGGAGAAGCCAAGCAGCCACCCTGGGAACCGTCTGCCATGGTGGCTCAAACGTATCACTGTCCTCCAACAGACCCCACGCCACAACTCGCGATGACATCCTTGAACCGCTAAGGAAAGGTTAATGATGTGGTCCCCCCACACTCCGGCCCTGTTCTTCTCTCACTCCCTCAAGGGTGCACATAGGAATGTATATTCAACTATACTCCAATAAAAAATAAATTAAAAAAAGGAAAAGAAGAAATTCCCGAAGGATAGTCAATTCATGCTGAAACACGAGTTTGAAAAAGACAAAACAAATGAAAAAAACAAAAAAACGACATGATACAGGGTCAGGCTTGAATCTGCACACATTTTTGAAAACATGCTGGCTTTGGCACGAGCACGTGACACAGATGGCTGAGGACAGTCCCCTGCCTGACGTCATAAGAGCCATGAGTGGTCTGGACATGACAGAAGGGTGGACGGAAGGGGAAAATCAGGACTGCTCCTGCCCACCAGGGTGACGGGTGAACCCTGGGGACCCGAAGTGGGGACTGAACACTGAGCCCGGCCGGCCATGTGGAAGGCCGCCCACTTCGGGAGGGAACTACCTTCTCCTTGATGAACTGCCAGATAATACGGGTCATCTCATCGCCGTCCATCTCCACCACTGGCTTCGCCACCTTGATCCTCTTGTCGGCATCTAGGACCAGACACACATAGTACATCACACCCCTGGGGAGGCTGGTGGGGTAGCCCCTCTCCTCTCTGGCCAGACCCACCCTTCACCATGGAGGGAGGAGTGTCAGCCAGGGCCCAGCTGCCCAGCATTCACTCCCCCTCCTGCAGGAGCAGCTCCGGGACCGCCCGGGGGAGCTGGATCCCCCGCTGAGTCTGGCCAGCTGGGACTAGCCAGATGCCAGCCTGGCCAGTCAGATCCTTTCTCCTGGAACCTGACAGCAGAGGAGACCAACACAGAGAATGAGAGCCAGCTGGGGTCACCTTGTCAAGCAGCAAGCCGGGCAGAGGTTGCCTTCGGCTGCTGCCACCCAGTTCCCCAGGGTAGCCTGGAATCCCCTCCTGTCCAATCCCTGCAATTCCTTGAGCTACCCCGTGTCCTTCCAAAAACTTCCTCTAACTGTTGCTTGCAACCTGAGAGCCTGACTAACATGAAGTGAGCAGGGAAACTGTACAGATCACCTCCCATGGGCCTGAGGGTGTACCACACCCTTCACATTTAATCCTCTGAACCACTCCCAAGGGGAGTACAGTAAGTCCCCTACATACGAACCTTCAAGTTGTGAACTTTCAAAGATGCGAACGTGCGTTCGCATGTCCAATCATGTAAGTTAGCTCATGTGTCTGGTGTACATTGTCACATGCTCGCATCCTCTACAAGTGGGTGTGCTTTTGTGTACTTTACTGTACAGTACTGTATAGAGTGCAGTAGTACAGTATCTTTATTTCAAGCCCAGGATGTGAATGAGTGAAACTGCCGCTTGCCCTCTGTCTCCTATTGCTGCCGATCCTTCAGCTCTACCACCTCCCACCTCCTCTCCCTCCTCCAGTCAGTAACTTCTTGCCTGTTCACTCGATGCCAGCCCCTGGATGCCAGCTGTTGTACTGTACTACAGTACTTTCCAAGGTACTGTACTGCACTGCAAGATTAAAAATGTTTTATTTTTTGTGTGTTTGTTTGTTTTTTATGTATTATTTGTGTGAAAAGTATTATAAACTATTACATTACAGTACTATAGAGCCGATTTTGTTAGTTGCGTACCTAGGCTAACTTTGTTGGACTTACGAAAAGTCGGACTTAGGAACGCGCTCTCTGAACGGAACTCATTCATATGTAAGGGACTTACTGTATCATTATCTCCACTTTAAATGTGAGGAAATTAAGGCTCAGAGAGGTTGTCAGCTCACTGCCAGAGCTCACACAGCTTGAAAACAGCAGATCCAGGAAGATCCACACCTTCCTTGATGGGCACCTGGGAATGGAATGCAGAAGCCCTGATCCACGCAGGCTCAGGTCCGCCAGTCCTGCCACAGATGCATCAAAGGACTGGACGAGTGACTGATCCAGGCCCAGGGAGATGGTGGAGGAGGAAACAGGAGCTGGTGGAGGCTCTTCAAGGAAAGTCTGACTCATGAGAAAAACCAACAGTCTGGGAAGCGAATTCCAAACAAAACTCAAGAAAATCGTCCACGGGACTTCCCTGGAGGTCCAGTGGTTATGACTCCGTGCTTCCAATGCAGGGGGCACATGTTCGATCCCTGGTCGGGGAACTAAGATCCCACATGCCGTGGGGCACAGCCCCCCAAAAAAGAAAGAAAATGGCCCATCCAATTTATCAGTGCAGGCTGCCGTGGGTGAGGCTTATTGACCCTTAACCTGCAGCAGGGGCACCCAAGCACCAGCACGTGCCTCTGGCCACAGCCTTGGAAGAAACAGCAGCTGAAGAGCACGGCAACAAGATCTATGTGAAACCTACAACCCTGCCTCAGTCACCCCAGGAAGTGTCACCTTCTGCTGAACCCCAGATGAAAGCAGGGCCCTGTCTCCAAAGGGGCCCTGCTCAGCCCTTACTTAGGGCCCGTTTAGTCTTATGTTATACACAATCCTTACAGATGTAGCTATGGGTCTTTCAACTCACCAAAGATTAGACACAGCAAATCAGAAGAGGGGACAGGATGAAAACCCCAAGTGACATCTGCTAGGCTGACAGCAAGGGACAGAAGCCTGTGAAAAGCAGGCCTAGAAAAATGAAGAAGCATGGCTACCTAGGCTCATGAAAACAAAAGGGACCAAAGCCCAAAAGACCCCAAACACATCACTGTCCTACGAAACACACCACTGCCATGACTCATGATGGCATCCCAACCCGCTAAGAAAAAGGTGAATTATGTGCAGCAGAATAACTCACTTTCCAGAGATGTGCAAACAGATTTTTTTTTTTCTTAATCTAAAAGGGAAGAAAAATGAGACCCAGGAAGCATGGCTTGTGTCAGGGTCAGGATAGGCCTCACCTGTGTCCCAGGGCCCTGGCTCAAGTGCAGCCTCTGGATGCCCTTGTGGGCCATATGTAGAGAAGCAGAAAGCAAACACAGACTCAAAATATTTCATTCCCCAGAAAACATGGTGGACACGGCTGACACCGCTTCAGCTCCTCCCAAGATGCAGTGGGGACTTTGGACCCAAGCTACTAAATTCCTTCAGCATTTCTGGTCTAAAGCTTGAGTGGAAAGGGCTTTAGGACCTGCAGAAAGTCTGTTGGGCTGTTGCGAGCTAGCTTAGTTTTTAGGAGCATCTTCTATGAGTTAATGTGATGAGAGCCAATCAATTTTTTTTTTTTTTAATGTACCGAGCCTACGGTAATCAAGTTCCCTAAGTAGAGACCCATTTGGGGCCAGTCCTAAAGGGTTCAGCCTCAGCCTGGGCTCTGCTCAAGCTTTGGGCTTCAGGCACAGCAGCTGGTGTCTTTGGACACCACACTCCTCGATGGGGGAGCTCAATATCAAGATCACAGCAGGCAGCCTTCCCAGCTGTGTATGCAGGTGTCAAACCCTCAAGACCACAGGGCCCACTTATTTACAACCAGGTGCTAAGGGTAAGCACCCCTTCCTGAAACACCTAAACACAACAATGCCTGTCCTCAAAGAGTGAGTATGGAAGGGAAAACCTATCAGTAATGGAGAGAGCAAGCAGCGCTGTTATCAAAGTCAGGTGTGCAGCCTCCCTCAAAGCAACTTCCCAGAGGAGCTGAGGACTGGGGGCAGTGATGTGAGTCATAGCAGCAGAGGCTCATTTTGTTTGGCCCAGGTCGTAGGGGTTTTCTTTAATGTTGATTGGTGACCAAGGCTTAAAAATCAGGCAATTTTAATAACAACAAAACAAATAACCTGATTAATAAACGGGCAAAGGACTTGAATAGATATTTCTCCAAAAATGGTCAATACACTCATAAAAAGATGTTCAATGTCACTAATCATTAGGCAAATGCAAATCAAAACTGCAATGAGATACCACTTCACACGCATTAGGATAGCTACTATCAAAAAACCCCAAAAAACGAAAGACCAAAACACATAAAGTAACAAATGTTGGTGAGGATGTAAAGAAACTGGAACCCTTGTGCATTGCTGGTGAGAATGTAAAATGGTGCAGCCACTATGGAAAACAGTGTGATGGTTCCTCAAAAAAATTAAAAAATAGGGCTTCCCTGGTAGCGCAGTGGTTGAGAGTCTGCCTGCCGATGCAGGGGACATGGGTTCGTGCCCCGATTCAGGAAGATCCCACATGCCGCGGGGCGGCTGGGCCCGTGAGCCATGGCCGCTGAGCCTGCGCGTCCGGAGCCTGTGCTCCGCAAAGGGAGAGGCCACAACAGTGAGAGGCCCGCGTATCGCAAAAAAAAAATATATATATATATATATGTATATTTGTATACCCATGTTCATAACAATTATTCACAATAGCCAAGAGGTGGAAGCAACCCAAGTGTCCACCAACAGATGAATGGATAAACAAAATGTGATATGAACCTTCAAGAGGAGAATAGGACTCTGGGAACTAACCCAGGAAGTTTAAGAAAAACTTTCCTCCAAAAAGTTAAACTATGTTCATGATTCCAAGTTTTTTTTCCAAAACTGGGCTGCCCACCACTTCAACATGGATGTACTTGCTTTGAAACTAAAAAAGGAAGTGCTTCCATGTTTTAGTGATGGATCTGGACCTACCTCAATAGCTTTTGCCGCTTGTTCTTTTGCTTCAAACTCCACAAAGACAAATTCTCTTTGGATCACCAGTAGACTTATAATGTGGTATACTTATATAAACAACATCACCACCTTTCCCAAATACTTTGTTTGTTTGTTTGTTTTTTGGAGCAGAAGATCTTTTAATTAAAAAAGCTTCTCTGTTATTTTTAATTATATGCATTATTACTTTTGGTAATTACAATGCAGTTAAACAGCAACAGAGGCTTATTTAACCCATTCAGTCAAACTGTGGACCTCATAAGCTCTAACACCTAAAACAATTCTCTATCAGCATATGATAAAAACTTAGGGTGCTTGCTCCTATGGACACTTTATGTATTACCCAAATACTTTTTCAATCCAGCTGTGATTAACATTTTTGGGAAATAACTCATGATAAATTAGAAACAGTATTAAATATGTAAGGATTTAATAACTATATCACCTAAGCTTTTCACAATTCCTACACCTTACTCAGAAGGTCAATAGATTTTAACTTGAATATTTTTTTTAATGTGCTATATACAGACAATGGGATCTTATTCAGCCTTAAAAAGGAAGGAATGCTGACACTCTACAACATGGAAGAACCGTGAGGGAATTCTGCTAAGTGAAACAAACCAGTCACAAAAAACCAAATACTGTCTGATTCCACTTATATGAGGTACCTAGAGTGGTCAAAATTATAGAAACAGAAAGAAGAATGGTGGTTTCCAGGGGCTGGGGGGGAGAGGATGAAGGGTAGTTGTTTAATGGGTACAGAGTTTCAGTTCTGCAAGATGAAAAAGCTGCGGAGATCGTTGAACAACAATGTGAATGTATTTTACACTGCTGAACCGCACACATAAAAATGATTAAGATGGAAATTTTTGTTATGCATTTTTTACCACAATAAAAAATAAGAAATTAAAAAAGTCTTTAATGTTTAATTTAAACCAGTCGCCCCACCAAAAGAAAAAAAAACACCGAGAAGATTTTACATAAAAATCCAGTCCCTCTTGAAGAATGAGTCGCTTCGTCCCACTGAGCCCACGCTCACTCCTGGCAAGGATGAAGGATGGGCTGGTATGAGGACAGCCTCTCCCTCCATTCCAGGCCTGCCACGTGCCCTCCAGAGTGCCCCAAGGCATTGGGTTTGAGACCATGTCTGTTGTTCAGCCACTATGGTGGAGACATCCACACCGTCTGCCCCTCTCTGGGAGACAAGAGGTGACAGGTTACCTGAAATTCAAAGAACAGTGGCTGGGCCTCCCTGAAGGCCTACTAGGGACAGCCGCCATGATCTCTTCAGATGACAGGCTGCACAAACACTGTCCTCTTGGCCAGGGTGTGGGATGGAATTACATCAGTCACAAGAGGCCCATTAGGCCAACTCCTAGCACCGAACACCAAGTAAGGATTTCAAAACCCATCCCCAGGGACTTCCCTGGTGATGCAGTGGATAAGACTCCACGCTCCCAATGCAGGGGGCCCAGGTTTGATCCCTAGTCAGGGAACTAGATCCCACATGCATGCTGTGACTAAGAGTTTGCATGCCACAACTAAGGAGCCTGCATGCCGCAACTAAGGAGCCCTGGAACCGCAACTAAGGAGCCCGCCTGCCACAATTAAGACCCGACACCACCAAATATATAAACATTAAAAAACAAAAACAACAAAACCATCCCGGTTTCAGTATCTACTTGCTGCTCAAGTAAGTAGACCTAGCCTCCAGGCTAGAGGTTCCTCCCAAGACAGCCACCCCTCCACCTCCCAGTCTACTTAACTGAACTGCTTTCATCACATTCCTACCCATGCTGCTGTCAGCAGAAGAGAGGCTGCTCAGCCAGCATGGCCCAGAAGAATGTAGGGGGAAGCCCCCAATTCCAGAGGGCTCAAGAAGGCAGGGCAGCAGTTCTGGAAGAGACTCTAGTATTTTCTTTGGTGTCATCCTTCACTCCTCCCTTTCTCTCACACCCACATCAAAACCACCAAAAAAACTCTACTGGCTCTTCCGTCAAAATTCATCCAGAATCCACCCACCCCAGTACCGCCACCACGGTCAAAGCCACCATGCTCTCTTGCCAGAGCCTTCTGACTAAGGCCTCCTACCAGGTCCCTGAAGCCAGAATGCTCCTGTTAAAATGTAAATCAGGTCACAACACTCCTCTCAAAACCCTGCAAGGCCGCCTCTTTCACTCAGAGAAGGCCAAAATCCTCAAAAACGGCCTACAAGCCCCCCATGACCTCCACTGTCTGACCTCATGTCCCATCACTCGCCTTCTGCACTCTGAGCCAGCCTTACTTTCTGCTTCTCCAACAAGCAAAGGTGCCCTCCTGCATCGTGACCTTGGCACCTGCAGTCCTCTCTTCCCCTGAACACTAAATGGCCTGCTTCCCTCACTCCCTCAGTACTGCATTCAGTGGGGTCTTTTCTGGCAGCCCGACCCAAACTTTCACCCACACCTTCCTTGCTTATTTGTTCTCCTTAGTTCTTGTCTACTGTCCGTCCCCACATTAGAATTTAAGTTCCATAGGGCAGAAGTTTTTGTCTCTTATTCCCAACTCTGTCCCCAGAGTGTCCCTGGCACAGTGCTTGGCACATAGTAGAAGCACAATATTTGTTGAATCCATGAATGAATGTCAAGTTATGGTCAATTCAATCTGTGCTAAGGACTGCTCTGCCATAACCTCCTGTTTGGATGAAAAGTACTCCTTCCCCTCCCCCATCCTGGGATGCATTACCACACAGAGGCCAGTGAGTCCTCACCACAAAACTGCACCAGGAGTAGCTCACAGTTTATCATGTGTTAATATTTGCAATCCGCTGGCATTTTAAACATGGTTTACAGAAGTGTAAACTCCAGGGCAGGCCACAGAGGCTGGCTTCCAGTAATCAGACAGCAGTGTCCAGCACCCCATCCTGGAATCAGTGAAAGAGGCCTCAGCCTCACACAAAGGATCTGGAGGCAGGCCCCAAGCCTTTCTAGAGGCTTTTCGTCAAAACCTACTGGGCCTAAACACAACTACCCAAAAATAGCTCTGATGGGATAGCTGTGGTCTTATCTGATGTGGATGAAACAAGGCTCAGTGGAGAACACACAACCCTACTGGTGGGTCTGCAAAACTGAACAATCATTAAATAATTTCCTCTGGAATCTAAGAGTGCAGGCGAATCACCAAGATCTGAAAAGTTAAGGGACAGGGTGAGGAAATGAAGAAGTTCCCAGACTAGGAGTTGAGCCAAGGAAGGATAGATAATTCTCCCACTGAGCAGTGTCCCTCACTTCCCCAAACTAACTTAATCAGAACCACCACCAGCAGTCGCTGGAGGCCTATGAGTTGCAAAACTAGAAGGAGACACATGTGGGAATTACCTGGCAGCAAAAACACAAAAGTATTTTAGCCAAAGCATATTCTTTCCTTGTCATCAAGGGGAATGCCAAGTATTCTGTCTCCAGCAGTGTTGCCAAGTAACAAGCTAGCAGAGGTCACAATTGTACAGTCTCATGTCCAACCAAGTTCTCCTCGTTAATAACCAACCCCACTTGGGGGCTTCTGGAAGGACCTGAAACTGACTGCTCTTTTCATGTGTTATCAAAATTCAGGCCTCAAAGGGGCTTTTCTTGTTTGTGTGGGGTTTTTTGTTTCTTTTTTTACCATCAGTGCAGAAAAAAAAAAGGGGAGAATTGGAAAATGTATCTAACTTCCACCATCTTTTGCTGAACGTGGTGCCACATGGGAAACTTTTTTGGGACCTGGGGACACTTAGAACCTTGAGTTGCAGGGCCGACTCCTTAGAGATAAATCTCATGAGTAGAAAAACAGAAATGCCCCTTTCTCCTTGAAAGGGGAGGTGGGGTGCTGGGGCTCTTCTCAGCTCTGGTCAGCTGCTCCCACACTAGGTTAAAGATTACCTACTCTAGCAGTAAGACCAGCTTGCCTGGGCCCCATCCCCTCCTCCTCACTCCAGGGAGCTGCTGGCCAGGTCAGGATAGGGGTTTCCGTGGCAACAGGCATTCGACAGAGCTAAGGGACCTACATCGTTCCCTGTCTCTTGTAGCTGGCGATGGAGAGCCAGGGGGCCGACCAATGCCAGACCTGGCAGCCTGCCTTGGTAGTGGAAGTTCAGGCTAACTCTTGCTTATTATGCCCTGCTTATTAAGACTATTGTCTTCTCTCCTAAGCAGGAAACTAAGGGTATCACAGAAGCTGTGACGAACAATTCGGGAAAGTGACATTTTGGCGCGGCTGCCGGGTCTCCCCAGTCGGGTGAGCGCGGCAGGGCCAAGGAGCAGCTCAGGAGCGGGCTGGCGAGAAGAGACAGGTCAAGCCAAGGAGAGGCCCCAGGATGGAGCTTCAAGTGGGTCGACAAGGAGAATGGGGGCGTCCAAAGCGAAAATAAAAAGGAGACTCCTCCAACTCTCGCGTAAAAGGCTCCAAAAATAGCTGACGAGGGCCTGACAGCGAGGAGGGATCACTGCGCGCCCGGGTGAGAAGGCAGGGGAAGTGGATACCTCCTCCTTCCCCTCCTTTGTCTGAGCACGGACCGCGCCGGGACCCTACCTCACTCGCGTGGAGCGGGCCAGGCGCTCCAGTACCCACTCGGTTGCTTCGTCTCCCTCCAGGGTCGCAGGACGGGCAGAATACGCTCCGAGCCCGGGATACCCCCCGCACCCCCTGCAGGAAAATCTGGGGGCGCAGGGCAGCAGGGCCGGCATCGCCCGGGCCACCAGTTGCCACCTTCCTTCAAGTCCTCCCCCCGCCCCCCGCGACTGGCACGGCCTGGAAGGTGGGGCAGGGGAGCACGTCCCCGTCCGCCGGCTCTTTGTGTGCCCTACCCCGCCGTCCCCGGCTCGCGAGCGTCCTGGGTCGCGCTCGCTGGTCCCCGCCCGGAAGGACGCCGCGTCGCGGTGCCAGGCGCGCACCCCGCCCGGACCCTCCTCGTGGCACTCACAGTGGCGCCGCGGCTGCTCTTGCAAGTTGGGGGCTGTTAAGGCTGCCGGCGCCCAGGCCGGCCCGGAACCGGAGGCTCTACAGAGCAAGCGTACAACCCGCAGGTAACCAGCCATCCCGAGCGGGTGAGGGGTCGTACTGGCTGGCGAGCGAGCGAACGAACCGGGGTAGGCGAAATCCTAGCGCCGGCCACTGCTCCCAGCTGCCTGGCGGCGGGCTACCTAGGCCTGCTAAGCGCGGGCTGAGCGGTCAGCGCCGGGGCGGGACTGCCGGGGCCCGCCACCCTATTGGGCCTCGCCGGGAGGAGGCGGGGCCGGCAGGGGCCGGACTCCTCCTTGGGCCCTGCACCAGCCCGGACCCCGCCCTCGCGCCCGGCGCGCGCGTCTCTGGGCACCGCGGAAAGCTCAGCGCTACTGAGGTGAGAGAGGGGTGAGACCCACCGGGACCCGGGAGCTGGGGGTGGGAACTGGAGGATTAGGGGAGCCGTTAGCGAGGAAAAACCCTCTCTCCAGGATGCCCTATTTAAACCAGAGTATCAGTTGCTGACACATCAGCTTAAGCCCCAAAAGGCAAATCTGAACAAACTCCTGCGTCCTTCGCGTTAGCTGGGCTGAAACTCCAAGGCGCATTTAACCAGTGCGCGTTCCGTGTTCTTGAACTAAGACCGTGGTCACCTCGGGTCTCCTCAAATTCGCTCTCAGATCCTCCTATCCCCTCCACGCGTTAGGTAGACTGACGCGAGTCAAGAGTTGAAATCCCGAGCTTCCCTGGTGGCGCAGTGGTTGAGAGTCCGCCTGCCGATGCAGGGGACACGGGTTCATGCCCCGGTCCGGGAAGATCCCACATGCCGCGGAGCGGCTAGGCCCGTGAGCCGTGGCCGCTGAGCCTGCGCGTCTGGAGCCTGTGCTCCGCCACGCGAGAGGCCACGACAGTGAGAGGCCCGCGTACCGCAAAAAAAAAAAAAAAAAAGAGTTGAAATCCCTCAGCTTCTCACCAGAAGGTCAAGCTGCTAGTCCTCGAAGTCATTAAGCATAGCCAGAGTCTGTTTCCTCCTTTCCGAGATGGGAACTATAACAGCAACAGGGCTGCCAGGAGACTTGGGTGAAATAACGTTATGTTAAAGACTTGGGACACACCCTGTGCTCAACGACAACCAACGATGCTTGTCAGACAGTACTCAGGCAAACGGTTCCATTTTTTGCCTGCTTTCATACAAAAGACAATACTGATTGGTTCTGCCATAAACAACCAAAGTCTCTCGCTCTCTCTTCACTCATCTTCTTGAAATGAGACACCAGTTGGGGCTGGGTTTTATTTAGAAAAATCTGACCCCAGCCCCCACTTTCCCAGCTACACCAACCCGGTCGAATGCTAGCCACCTCTTTCTGCCCTGTGTTCCCAGCTCTCCCCTTCATTGCCTCAGAGTCAACATTGCCAGATGGAGCTGGGCCAGGAAAGTGACCTTGAATTAGTGACTTCAAAGCTTCCTTCTCCCTGTCTCAGCCAGGCAAAGCTACTACTTTGGCCCAGAGATCTAGTAGACTGGACCTAAGGGGAGGCTGTTCTGGGGCCACCCCCAAAGTCTGAGACCTCATTCAAAGGCCTAACCTTGAGCCAGCATGTCCTAGAGTGACCCATTATCCCTTTCATTCTGTTCCAATTCTCTTACTCAAAACACAAGCAGAGGGACTTCCCTGGTGGCGCAGTGGTTAAGAATCCGCCTGCCAATGCAGGGGATGCGGGTTCGATCCCTAGTCTGGGAAGATCCCACATGCTATGGAGCAACTAAGCCCGTGTGTCACAACTACTAAGCCTGTGCTCTAGAGTCTTCAAGCCACACCTACTGAGCCCATACGCCACAACTACTGAAGCTCGTGCACCTAGAGCCCATGCTCCACAACAAGAGAAGCCACCACAATGAGAAGCCCGCACACTGCAACGAAGAGTAGTCCCCGCTTGCTGCAACTAGAGAAAACCTGCACGTGGCAACGAAGACCCAACACAGCCAAAAAACAAAATAAGACAAAACATTAAAAAAAAAACAAAACACAGCAGAGACCATGGAAGCCTCTGGTATTTGGCTTTCATGCCATCCTAGTGTTATCAGGCACCAGGGCCTCAGTGTCTATACCTATAAACTGGGAGGATGACTGCTCCCCCAGGCTCCTTTTGGCCCAAACAATCAGATTCTGTTATGTATGACAACTACCTATACTGCCATTTCTGAAATGGTCATAAAGAAATTGCTCTCCCCCCACCAGGGGCTCATTTGTTTCTCTGTATGGTGGACCAAGGTGTCAGAGGCCTGGCAAGAGGCAATACTAGAGCCTCAGTGTGTTCCAGAGTCTGGCCTTCACCTGCAGAGGGATCAGGGTGGGAGCACATGGGTCCTTTGACAGCACAGCAGCAGCCCAGGACAGTCAAGGCAAAATCTTCCGATTAAACTGCTCTCACAGCCCACGTCCCAGGGCTCCAGCTCCATGCCAGCCTTCCTCATGCAGTATCTATTTGGTGAGGCAGCTGATGTCAGCTCCATTGGCTCAGAGAGGTTAGGACACTTGCTCAAAGTCACACAGCTAGGAAGTAGCAGAGCTCTAGTTCATACTCGTATACCTGGCTAGTAGTCCATCATTCTTTTAAGGAGAAAAAATAGGACCCAGAGCCCCTATTTATTGTACTTCTTTGGAATTTTTTGTGGTGATAACTGCTGGCCCTGTAAGCCACCTCAGAGAAAGGTGATATTTAAAGGAAAGGTGCTTATATCCTCCTTTGGGTCAGCAGATTTGGAAACTCTCACCCTTACAGATTTTATTTATTTATTTATTTATAATTTTTGGCCACACACAGAATGTCGGATCTTTGTTCCCTGACCAGGGATTGAACCCACGCCCCCTGCATTGGAAGCACAGAGTCTTGACCACTGGCCTGCCAGGGAAGTCCCCTTACATATTTTAAATCAAACCTCAATTAGTTATTGAGTCTAGGTCATGTGCAAGTTCCCCGTGGAGGCACAGAAATGCATATCACTCAGTCTCTACCCTCTGGGAACCACAAATCACCACAAACCAGGCACAAGGGGAAAGTGTCCCAGGAGGAGTGTAGATGACACATTAGGCATCTGGCAAAGAGAAAATCACCTCTGATGGGGGAGACCCTGATGAGCTCAGGGCAGGAACATCCATCAAGTGTGTTCTCACGGATCTTTACGACGTGGAAGGAGGCTGACCATGCAGACACGAGTAGAGTGAGGGCCTTGCACTTCACCCAGGTGGACACACCAGGACATTAGTTTCGTGCTATGTTTGTAGGCAGGGAGTAACATCTGGTAACATCTGGCACAGCAGTGAGGGGATGTCAGACAGTGGAGAATCAGGCCTGGGGAAGGGAGGCCAGGGTTCTTGAACCGGAGAGACTTGACACAGGGTCCTGGCAGGACCCTCAAGAAGGTGCAAGAGTGCAGAGGCAGTGTAGAGATGGCGTATGCAGGAACTGCAGCTAGCTGGACGGGGGAGGAGTCACAGTGACTCAGACTTCCATCCCTGGGGCTGGGAGAATGGTGATGCCATTATTAGAAATCAGAAGATGGGAGGGAGGAAGGTTGAGGGGGAGGCGTTGATAGCAGAGCTATTTATGGTCATCTCTAAACTGATTTCCCTGCCAGTAGTCAGTCTGTGCTCCCTCCCCCTCCTATCAGCCCTCCCCGCCACTTCCAGCGCTGTCACCCTAAGCACAGCCCTGAGCAGTCACTCCACAGCTCAGATAGTGAAGTAGCTCTCCACTGCCTGATACAATAAAATCTGAATAGCTTATAACATTTCATGGCCTTCACCTACCCCCCACAGTTACTATTCCCTCTCCACAAGAACCCTAAATTTAGCCATTCCCCTGAGTAGTCCTTGACTCTGAGCAGTTGCACTGTCCCTTCCTTCCATCAAGTGGGTTCTTTCCACTCCGCATTGCCAGACCCAGCTCATCCTTGAAGGCCAAGTACAAATTCACCCTCTCAAGCCTGCACTGGGGGTGGGGATAAAGGGGGGGTATAGCATTCATTTACACTTGAATCATCACGAAAGGTAAACAGACCCCCCCAATAAAAGAACACAAACTACTACTCTGATTTTTTTTTAATAAATTTATTTATTTTATTTATTTATTTTTGGCTGCGTTGGGTCTTCGTTGCTGTGCGCTGGCTTTCTCTAGTTGCGGCGAGCGGGGACTACTCTTCGTTGCGGTGCGCGGGCTTCTCATTGCGGTGGCTTCTCTTGTTGTGGAGCATGGGCTCTAGGTGCGTGGGCTTCAGTAGTTGTGGCACGTGGGCTCAGTAGTTGTGGCTCGCAGGCTCTAGAGTGCAGCCTAGTAGTTGTGGTGCATGGATTTAGTTGCTCTGCGCCATGTGGGTTTTTCCTGGGCCAGGGCTCGAATCGTGTCCCCTGCATTGGCAGGCAGATTCTTAACCAGTGCACCACCAGGGAAACCCTACTACTCTGATTTTAACTTTGTAAAATAAATCTATGGACAGTAACAGGTGGGGTCCAGAAACAAATTTGGAAGATTTTAAAACACTATTTAGGGAATTCCCTGGTGGTCCAGTGGTTAGTACTACGCACTTCCACTGCAGGGGGCATGGGTTCAATCCCTGGTCAGGGAACCAAGATCCTACATGCATGGCCAAATAAATAAATAAAACTTTATTAAATTTTGTGAAATTTTCTCTTAGGTTGCATAAGTTAATTAATCCTCAAGATTCCTAATAAAACTAGACGTCCAAAGTTAGAGGAAGGGGAAATGATTGAAAGGGATTAAAAAGAACTAAAAGCAACATTACCATCTTGGTAACAGATTTCCAGAGTATAAAGCTTTCTCCCTGTTTGTAGAAGTCTTTTTTTTTTTTTTTTTTTTAAGTTTTTTGGCCGCATGGCATGAGGGATCTTAGTTCCCGGACCAGGGATGGAACCCGCACCCCCTACAGTGGAAGGGCGGAGTCTTAACCTCTGGACCACCAGGAAAGTCCCGTGGAAGTCTTTTGTCGTGATTGTCTCATGCCTGGGCAAGTCACTTAACTTCTCTGAGCCTCAGTTTCTTCAACTGCAAATGGAGATAATAAAAATCCCTACTCCTAGCAGTTACTAGGATTAAATAAATTCATGCAGATAAGTTGCTTTGAATGGTGCCTGGCACACATAGGAGAAGCCTGGCCATAGTGTTAATGTTATCTGTTCATTCACATCCACTCCACACCAGTTTACTGAGCTCCTACGACATGACAGGTGTGACCCACAGATGGACAAGAGGGCACATTCTATTCCTGAGAGGACCAGCGTCCAGTGAGGGTATCCGGAAGATGGAGATATGAACAGATCATTTCAAAATATCGTTGCTGTGGCTGGATGGAGTGTTGGTTAGTACAATCTCTTTGGAGGGCAATTTAGTATCATCCATCCTATTATAAAGTGCACGTAACTCTTCATCTGGAAATTCCACTCTGAGAGACTGACAGCATAGAAATACTTACCAAATTGTACAGACACATAAGTGCAAGGTGTTCACTGCAGCACTGTTTGTAATAGGGAAAAATTGGGAATGACCTAAATGTCCATTGTCATTAAGAATGAGGTAAATATTTGCTGATATAGAAAAATGCATTGGGGGACTTCCCTGGCAGTCCAGTGGTTAAGACTCTGCATGGTTAAGACTCAAATAAAAAAGAAAAAGAAAAATGCATTGTGATAAATTAAGTGAAAATAGAAAGTTGCAGAGAAATATCTTAACATACATGCATACCTATATATGAAAAATTAAAGGCACAGAAACCTAAGAGGGTATGGGAGTGGGGTATAGTGGGAGACTCAATTTCTACTTTATGCAATTCTGTGGGGGTTGAACATTATATAACAAAGCATCTATTACTTTTGTAACCAGAAAAAGAACAATCAAGATATATATAGAAATAGATAGGTAGATAGATTTTTTTTTTTTTGAAACAAACGGTCACAGTCGTTTATGTGCTGTGCAGAGTGTCCCCTGTCCCAGCACCATTCACTCTGGCGGCTTCTTTTAAATTGAGGCATTTCCTCTCGCGTTCTTTCCGTCTTTGGGGAAAACGAAGGGTTAAAGGGGCTGGGGAGGGGAAGAGGAAGTGAGGTAAGGGAAAGAGGGGTGAGGGCCCCTCGGGTACCAGCTGCGGTGAGGCGCTGGCCACGCCCCGCAGCTCTGGCTCCCGCTGGAAGCAGCCTCCCCAGGTGCTCGAGAGGAGGCTGCTGGGCTGTTTTTACGGTCTCAGAAGGACGAAAGATCAGAACTTAATGAATATAAAGTTAAGTGGAGGTTAGGACAAGATGCTGCGACCTAGAGCAAACGACGGTTCTCAAAGTGTGGTCCGCGGACCCTGGGGGAGGAGGGGCACCACGAGATCTAAATAATTTTCGTAATACTAAGAAGTCACTTGCCTTTCTCACTGTGTTAACATTTGCCCAAATGGTACAAAAGCAACGGTGGGGAAAACCGCTTATACCTTACCCTGAATCATGGCAGAGGCACCAAACTATACTAGTAGTGATTTTATTGCTCACCATCGTGCACTCTCTGTCTTTTTTTTTTTAAGTCTATTAATACGATGTACTAAATAAAGCAGTAGAAATTAATAATTTGATTAAATCGTAACTCTTGGGTATATATCTTTCTAATATCTTACGTAATAAAAATGGAAGTACATACAAAGCACTTGTGCTGCAGACCCTGGAAAGATGGTTGTCTCCTGGAAAAGCACTGAGGAAGAGCGGGAGTGCTTTATTTGAGCTGTGGGTTGAAGCAGCTGCTTTCTTCACAGAACAACATTTCAGCTGAAAAGAACAACCGATGCAGAAGCCATTTGGACTCAAATATTTGGCAGATATTTTCTCAAAAATGAATGAAATGAGCCAGTCACTTCAAGGAAATAGCTTATAGTATATGTTACCAATGATTTTTTTATATTGGAGCTTTCAAGGGAAAACTAAAATTTTGGAAACCTTGTATATACCCTGAGTTTGAGAGCTTCTCAATTCTTTTTTTTTTTTTAATATTTATTTATGTATTTATTTGGCTGCGCTGGGTTGTGGCACCACGGGATTTTCATTGGCGTATGCGGCATCTTTAGTTGCAGCATGCGGACTCTTAGTTGCGGCATGCACGTGGGATCTAGTTCCCTGACCTGAGATCAAACCCTGGCCCCCTGCATTGGGAGCACGGAGTCTTAACCACTGGACCCAGGGAAGTCCCAGCTTCCCAATTCTTCATGATGTTTCTAATGAGATTAATGGTCTACCAAATGTGATTTTTTTTCATATTGTGTAATGAAATGTGTCAACTTTTGGAAGATCTGCATAACTCAGCCAGTATTTTCTAAATGACCAATGCATGATGTTAAAAAGTTATGCATGGGTAAGAGACCTATTCCAGAATGGATTTGAATATGAGGGGTTTGAATGTAACAGAGTAGGAAAGGCATATTGGTGTTGTTTCAGATTCCACATTGCAGTTAACCTTTGAGAAAGTATCACTTGTACATTTTGTTATTGTAAGTGAATACCGTGGGTCAGGCCTCGCCCAGTCGGGAAATGGGGGTTGGGCAGTGGCCCAAGCTGGGATGCCCCCCTAAAAAATGGCCACTGGGGCCTCGACCTAGCTCAGCCCATGCAGGTCAGGGAGCCCCGGGTGATGCACCGCACCACCCCCATCCCAGGCCCAGACCATGGTGCAGGAGGTCTGGTACATGGAGGAGTCCCAAGATGACCTGAGGTGGCCCCCTGGCCTGGAGCCCAGCTGCCCAGTCCTCCTGGAGCAGCTGCACCAGCTTGGAGTCCTTTACTGGAAGCTGGCAAATATCAGAATGATCCAGAATTAGACTACTCTGGGATGGTCATAATAAACATATGCAAAAATAAATTTCCAAATTATGAAGAAAAGGTTAAGATGTTTTGCTGGGAGCATTTGTACTAGGATGTAAAATTTGCTACATCTTGGATGGCAGTGGATACTTTGATGAAAGAGATAAAGAGGACTTCAGATTTTCATGGAGAAAGGAAATGTGATAACTCATCCTGCAGGAGTTTATCACTGCTTCACACTGGATGGAAAGAACTATGTGACAGCTGTGTGGATGTTTGTGGGAGAAACAGTGTGGACTGCAACCAGTCGGCTGACCATTTCCACGCTCAAGGACAGGACAGGACGTGAAATTTTGGGCATGAACAGCAAGGAGTGCTCCCTGGGGCCTAGCACACTCCTTGTAAAGATCCTAAACGTGATAACTGAGCAGAAAATCATTTACTCTTTGCTTTTATATTATAGGCTTGAAGCTTGAAGGCTTGAAGCTTATCTCCTTTGCAAGATTATTTGATCAGAATATTTTTTAATGGCAGACTTCCCTGGTGGCACAGTGGTTAAGAGTACGCCTGTCAATGCAGGGGACATGGGTTCGAGCCCTGCTCCGGGAAGATCCCACATGCCGCGGAGCAACGAAGCCCCTGCACCACAACTACTGAGCCTGCGCTCTAGAGCCCGTGAGCCACAACTACTGAGCCCACATGCCACAACTACTGAAGCTGTGCACCTAGAGCCCGTGCTCTGCAGCAAGAGAAGCCACCGCAGGGAGAAGCCCTCACACCGCAATGAAGAGTAGCCCTGCTTGCCGCTAGAGAAAGCCCACACGCAGCAATGAAGACCCAATGCAGCCAAAAATAAAAATAAATAAAATAAAATTTTTAAAAAAGAAAGAAAAGCCTTATGATAAAATAAGCCATAGCTATTTAAACAAAGAATGTTTTTTAATAAAAGTCGCTATAAAACTGATTTTTACATGGAAACAACTGTGGAAATGTGGACAAATCACAGTCATTTGCTCTAACTCAGTCAAGATCAGTGGTTCAGACACGTGTTCAACTTTAACCGGAATGAGAGTCTTATCTGCTGGTGTGCCTTATCTGGACACGATTTTTAGACTTTAAACCAGGTATCAGTCAATGCCATGCCTGCCTTAGAAGAAAGTTGTGGCAGAGAAGTATATTTTGGTCTTTGTCCCCAGTTTCTGGCATAGAGCTCCTAAAACCCTTGGAATTTCCTGAGCGATACGAGTGGCCTTCTGCTATTCACAGGTAATCTTTTGTGAGCATCTCAGTTCCACTGGGACAGAAGCGCCTGTGCTCAGGACCCTCTGGACCTCACTCTATGTACCTCCTTATCTGGCTGTTTATCTGTGGTCTTTATGTATCCTTTATAATAAATTGGTAAATGTAAACCAACATTTCCTGAGTTTTGTGAGCCGTTCTAGCAAATTATGGGACCCGAGGAAGAGGTCATGTAAATCCCCAATTTTTAGCCGCTGAGTCAGAAGTACAATTGTCCCAGATTTGTGATAGGCATCAGTGTTGTGGGACTAAGCCCTTAATCTGTGGGATCTAACGCTACCTCCAGGTAGATAGTGTCAGAATTGAGTTAAACTCAATTCAGTCCTGCTGAATCGGTTGGTGTAGGGAAACAGACTAGAGGTGTAATCGTAGATAACATAACTAACTAGATACAGGATGCTTTTTTCTCCTGAAATTATACCTTGGACTAAGGAGTGCAAGGAGGGGAGAGCTCTCTATTAGGGGCACATTCTCAGTTGCTTATGCCACTTGCCGCTTTCCATTCAAACTAAAGTAAATGCCTTGGGAATTCCCTGGTGGTCTGGTGCTTAGGACTCCATGCTCTTACTGCCGAGGGCCTGAGTTTGATCCCTGGTCGGAGAACTAAGATCCCACATGCTGCAGCGCAGCCAAATAATAATAATAATAATAAAACACCTTAATCTAAAAAAAAAAAAGGCACTCTCGTCCCCTTCCTGTTGCAGTGAAATCTCAAGTTCCACAGACTCCTGCTGGCTCGTCTAACCCTGTACTTGTTTTTCTCATTTCTTATTCTTTTTTTTTTAATGAAATGATCTAATTTTTTTTTTTTTTTTTTTTTTTTTTTTTTTTTTT